AGCATGGTTATGACGTTTATGCATTCTTACGTCATATCCAAACATGTATAAATACAAAGGACGGACAGGGCTGTCACCACTTGCCGCCTACCTCACTTTCCGTAGGGCACACCCGCATCCAATGATATTTATCTAGTCTAAGCACGTACCATGCTCATGCTAGTAAATAATATCACTAAGTCACCCGGTACTCTCACCCAATGGATGAACAAGTTGGAGCTAGAGCTACCTGTAAAGGTCATTGGACCGTTACCGTAGCATGGATCGACTAGCTTAGGATGAAGCAGATATACGAAGTCTATACTAGGACTTATACTTAATAAAGAACTATATAAACCATGAACATAAAATAGATAAAGAAGATAATTATATTAATTTAACTATAGTCTTACGAGAAGAGCTTTTGAAAAAGAAAACATACGATATAGCGGTTTGAAAAGTTGGCATGTAAGAAGTGAGGAAAATGAGTTGGAAAAGCTAATAAAAGACAGCCTAATTTTCTGAGTGTGACATGGCACGTACAGGTGCAAGTGGAAGGAAAAAAGAAAAGGCTGGCCGAATGGTGCAGTATTAAATGTGCGGCCGTGCTTCTTGTTGACTTGGCGAGGAAGGTGGAAGCATGGCATCAGACCGTGTTTATTTGTTTTGGCAAAAAATTTTGTGTCGTATACGGACACACATTTGAAGTATTAAATGTAGACTAATAATAAAACAAATTACAGATTCCGCCTGTAAACTGCGAGACGAATCTGTTAAGCCTAATTAATCCATCGTTAGCAAATGTTTACTGTAGCACCACATTATCAAATCATAGCGTAATTAGGCTCAAAAGATTCGTCTCGCAATTTACATGCAAACTATGCAATTGGTTTTTTCTCGTCCATATTTAATGCTCCATGCATGTGTCCAAATATTTTATATGACAGAAAAGTGGGAAGTTTGAATAGATTTAAACACAGCCCAAGAAAAAGAAAAGGCAGTTCGGATGACACAGTAGCATTAAATGTGTGGCCACCGTTAGATCTCAATTTTTTCTTTAAACTTCCAACTTTTTCATCACACTAAACTTTTGTACTCACATAAACTTCCAACTTTTCTATCACATCATTTCAATTTCAACCAAACTTTTAATTTTAGCGTGAAATAAACACAGCCTTGGCGAGGAAGGCGGGAGCAAGCGAGGCCAGGGAGGCGCGGTAGTCGTCCGAGTCAACGTTGGCTTCGTCGTTGCGCACCTCCGGTGTTCTTGTGGCTGACACAAGCGGGGCGCGACCGCGCGAGCAGGCGAGCCGGATAAGAGCTCGGCGCATGGCCGCAGCGTGGACGCATAGCGCACAACGAAGCAGACAAGGCAAAGGTGTGGCCGTGTGGGAGATGTCACATGGATTTACCGGGAGCAGTAGCATGGTGGCGAGTTTGCCGAGCTTGTTATGCTGAGTTTTTTCTAGCTAGCTTTCCTAACTCAAATTCCTCATTATTCATGTGCACATGTTCTAAGTTGTTAAACGGTGTAACTTTTTTTAAAAAAAATTATATACAAAAATTGTTTTGAAAATCATATTAGTCTAGTTTTTAAGAAATAGTTACCCCTTCGTCCCAAAATATAAGAGATTTTAAAGGATGTGATACATCTTTTTTTAAAAAATATATATACAAAAATTGTTTTAAAAATCATATTAATCCAGTTTTTAAGAAATAGTTACTCCCTTCATTCCAAAATATAAAAGATTTTAAAGGGATGTGATACATCTAGTACAAATAAGAAGAGACATTCTGGGCCTGTTCACTTTGATGCCAAAAAAAACCTTATCAAATTTTGGCATTGCCAAAATTTTGGCAGGATTTCTTATATAGTTACCAAAATTTGGTAGCAAACTAAATGTAGTCACTTTTTTTGGTAACTTTACCAAAATTTGATAAGGTTGAAAATAGCATCAAAGTGAACGGGCCCTCTATTTTGCGCGGGGATTAGTTTTCAAGGAGGCACGATGGTCGGCGGCACTTTTCTGCGCGAAACCTGGAGAGGATGGAGGGGCAGTGGCTGTCATGGTCCGGTGCGTGGTGGGCGGGTGGGTGCGTTGCACCGAGGTAGACATCGTCCTCGCATTGACGTCTTGAGCGTACGAGGACGAGCCAGGTCAACTCGATCGTTGCTGTGGCGTTCAGGTGGTCGCGTCATCTCAGCCGGGTCTACTCGTAACAATGGTTACTTAAATATTTATTTTGACTTTGAAGTTAGAATTAAGATTTGATTTCTTCTGAATTGTTTTTGGCATGGGTACAAACGTTTAAAGGAAAATCCACTAAGATGCAGCATGATGCAAAGTTTTGTAAAAACTTTTGAGGCTCATACACCTAATTAACCGGCAGTGATAGGTAAGGATGGGAATTTCTTTTATTGGTGAAACGGGATACATTCATGGTATTACTTTTTACTGAGAGAGTATTAATTAATTGAGGTTTTCTCTCATCGCTGAAGAGGTATATATCATTATTTTAGTGATAAAAAATAAATTGATTAGAAGATAAATTTATGGTTGGTAATGACGAGCCTTTTCTGATTCATGGGTGATATATATACCACATAGTGTTAGTTACGAGGTATATAACTTTTAGGGTGAAGGTATATGTATACCTCCCAACTACCACAGCACCTTAAAAATAAAGTAAAAACTCAAGAATATTTGCAAAGATGAGTTTTCAACTATATTCCAGCTTTTAACGTTAGTTTTGGTAAGAGGTACATCTCAAGTATGAGAATGTATATACCTTTTTAAGGATAGGAGAAAAACCTAAAATTAATTAGTTCGGGGGAGAAAAGGCCATGTCCTGGATATTGTTACAGCTGCCTTCAGCCGTATGTAATTCAACTAGCAATGCAAATTGATGAGGGAAATTAATAGAAAAGAAAAGTCAGACCAAGAAAAGGGAAATTATACAGGAAATTTTTCTCCATCTTCTCCAAACACCCATTAAGAAAAGTTGAAATAATCCATAAGAATGGACATTCCATCCAATGAATATGCCTGTCCAGCGTTGTGGATGGTCCGTATAGTTAAGCATTATGTTAATTTCTATGTGTCTCGTACATAATGATATAAGAAGCGAAGAAATTATGACCAAGGCCCTGAGGACACAGTTGTTGATGTGCACTGAACATCATACACTAACTTAGCACATCACTCTGAGTACACCTTGTACTTCATAAATTGAACATCATTTGTACACCCTTGCTTGCAAGTTGGGTAGTATGCTACAAGATTGCTGAGCGATCCAGAAATTGGGCAGCGAATCCTTGAAACGATATTTAACAGATTTTTAGGTGAGCAACGACGTCGATTAAGTATCAACTTGTATCATGTCACTTTTGAAGGTAAACTGTCCATCGCAGCTAATAGAGGACGAGCAATGCCGACTAAGTTTGAAATTGAACTTTGACAAAGGGAGTTATATATATATATATATGATCAGCACAAGTGGTGGTAGCAACTCGTTTTCCCTTCTAATATTTTGTTGCAAACCAAATCAATAAGTAGTTTTTCATTGATACTACTTGTCAGAGAATGCATAACAAATTGAGAAAATTTCAGAAAAGCTCAAGTTTTATGGTCGAAGTTGCATAAAACCAAAAGCATTATGGCCCGTGGCACATAGCCCCAACTATTGTAAATAATTTGAAAGTTTCACAAAACTCCACCCATATATATCTGACAAATATTTACTTAATGTTTTAAAATATGGAATGTACATAAAACTTTTACTTGTTAATTTCTTGTTTAAGGTTGTCGGTTTAGCACTTCACTAATTTGAAATCATTTGAAATTTGAATAAAGGTGGGTTTTATGAAATATATATACTGTAAAACCTGTAATTTTGTATCACAAATCATAATATTTGTGGTCTTATATAACTTTGACCGTAAAATGTGCCGTTTTATAAAATTTACTGTAATAAAATAAGAGTAGGACTATATATAGGAATTTTTCGGTAAGAAAAAAGACACGGAACACAAAGGTGAAATTAACACCCTACAAGTCTACATAGGGGGAGTTACAAAGTACTTCATCCATTCCAAAATATTAGGCACAACTACTTTTCTTCAGATATTTCATAATATAAGGCAAATATGCATATAAGCAATTAACTAGCACCTTCTCTTCACTAAATTATTATTTTTTAAATTCTCAACTCTCAATATTTCTAAATTTATTGGATGTATGCATTGTACTCCCTCTGTCCCAAAAAAAACTTAAACCCTAGCATCCCAAAGAAGATTTTAAGGAGAGCAACAAAAGACCCTAATGCCCTCAATTAATGTAGAAGTTATATTTGTTGATCGGTAGGTGAAGGGTATTGAAGTAATAAAATTTCTGGTTTTGTAGATTCGTGTAGGTAATAAGGTAGAAGTTGGTTTATTTTAGGACATATTTCAAACTCCAGAAGTTGATTTATTTTTGGACGGATGGAGTATTTATTAGGGTGATTCAAACGAGGAGATGATAATTATTGTTTCTTGGTTTTTAGGTCAAAGGTGATTATGTCTTCTATTTTTGAACGGAGAGAGTAAACACACTGTTGTAAATACCATGCATAAGCAGTCCCCAACATTCATTGGAGGGAATAACTTCTAAGGCCGTGTTTAGATTCAAATTTTTTTTCCCAAAAAGTCAAATCGAATGTTTGGACATATATATAGAGCATTAAATATGAACGAAAAAAACAATTGCACAATTTACATGTAAATTGTGAGACGGATATTCTGAGCCTAATTACACCATAATTTAACAATGTGATGCTACAGTAAACATTTGCTAATGACGGATTAATTAGGCTTAATAAATTTATCTCACAGTTTACAGGCAGAATCTGTAATTTGTTTTATTAGTAGCCTTATATTTTTGAACGGAGGGAGTAAACACACTGTTGCAAATACCATGCATAAGAAGTCCCCAACATTCATTGGAGGGAATAACCACTAAGCAGTTGAATCAGTTTCAAAAAAGTTGACTCGAGCCTTACACAGCTTCACATACATTATTTAAACGGAGGAAGATGGCAGCTGGATGATCACACTTCACTATATAGAGAAAATATCAAGTGAGCAAGGAAATCAAAGATCGGCAGAGGAGAACGACAACATACAATGATGTCTTTACGTCAAGAAAACATAGCCATGTCGACGTCGACAACGCCATTGATCGTCTTAGTGTTGCAACTGCTGCTAATTGCATCGACGGATTCCTCCAGATCAGCTACTGCTGGTGAGAGTGTGACCATGATGGCCGGTTGCCCGGGCAACTGCGGCGGCGTGGGCATCCCTTACCCCTTCGGCATCGGCGCCGGCTGCTTCCGGCGAGGCTTCGAGATCATCTGCAACGACGACGATGCGGCGCCGTTCCTCGCCGGCAGCGGCGGCAGCCTCATCCCGGTCAGCGACCTCTCCTTCGACCCGCCGGAGGCCCGCGTGATGCTGCCCATCGGGTGGCAGTGCTTCAACTCCTCCGACAAGGTGGACGGCTACCGCGGCCCCAGGGTGGATTTCAACCGGGACGGCGCGTACCGCGTCTCGCACACCCGCAGCCACCTCGTCGTCCTCGGCTGCAACACGCTGGCCTACGTCGGGACCCAGCACCGGCCCGGGGTCGTGGACAGTGACTACGACCACGCCTCCTACACCGGCTGCCTCTGCTACTGCAACGACTCCAGCAGCGCGGTGAGCGGCGACTGCGACGGCGTCGGCTGCTGCCAGGTCGACATCCCGCCGGACATCACCGACAACACGGTGAGCTTCGACGGCACCTACTCCCATAAGAGAAACCTCAACTTCAGCCCCTGCGACTACGCCTTCCTGGTGGAGAAGGACAACTACACCTTCAGCACCGCCGACCTGAGGATGGACAAGAACCGGACCATGCCGGTGAGGCTGGACTGGGCCATCCGCGACAACCTGACGTGCAGCCAGGCGAGGAAGACGGCGGCGCAGGTCGGCGGCTACGCCTGCGTCAGCGACAACAGCGACTGTCACGACTCGACCAACGGACCGGGATACGTTTGTAAATGCAACAGTGGATATGATGGCAATCCCTACCTCCCCAATGGTTGCATCGGTATGTTTGTTAATTACTACTGTACTCTATATGTGTTATCATATACAACTAGTCTTCCAGTTCCATAATTCTCGATGTTTTACACAATGGCACGGTCTTCGAAATATATTTGTTGACCATATTTATTTAATTATTATAATATATACAATAACTAAATGCATGTTTAGTTTTTATGACAGTATTTTGAAAGATAAATCCATATATGTTCTAGTTCCTTTAAACAAAATAATTTTAAAATTATTCATAGTCAAAATTATAAAAGGTTAACCTTAGCCTTATCCAAATCGTCGAAAATTATGTAACCGGAGGGAGTACACTTCTGGCGCTTAACATTTGTTTGTAAATACAAGCGTTTTTAACTACTACTTCCCTCACACAATTTTCACTTAATCTTTGCGTGAATCACCCATCTCCATCGATTTCACTGCCTCCCAAAGACGCTCCACCTTGAGGTACTACTTATTAGGATATACGAGTACTACTAATTAACATGCCCATATGTTATAACGGACTAGGCCCATATATAATTACGGATATGCTATAGAAGATTGATTGAGGACAAAACATTGTATATGGTGGTTCTTTACATGCCGTGCGTGACCGGGGTGGATGCTTGCATACTCTTGACGACTGTCATTGTCTTCGAAACTATATCTATGGCCTCTTTAGTTTGCATGTTGTCTATTACTATATCGATGCATGATTAATTAATTTTCACCACAGTATATATATGATCAGCTAATCGTTATGCCGGATATACTTGATGTACAAATTAACACAGATATTGATGAGTGCCTACACCCGGAGTTGTACACGTGCTTTGGTGACTGCCGGAACTTGCCGGGTTCCTATGAATGCGGGTGTCCCAAGGGGTCCCACAGTGCTGATCCATACAGTCAATAGTGCATCCAAAATTTTCCTCTCCCTGCACAGATCGTTGTAGGTATGTGTGCGTATATTCGATCTCATCGTCCACTTCGTATAATAATGTCAATCAATGTTAATTAGTTTTACATTGGAAATTTGTAGAGTGTGTATTCAACACGCAGAAGTATACATTCAATTGAAAATCAAACAAAAATATGACAAGAAATTTTGATTAATCATTTAACAGTGCATGATTTGCGAATTTTGTATATATGTCATGCAGATGAATGTGAGATAGTTTTATTACAATGAGCGTCAATAGTATTATGCTATATATGAATTTATGGTATTCAATAACCATACAATATTCCTATCTAGTATTGTTTTTTTATTCCATTCATAAAAATACTAGATAGGAATAATATTTAATTTGCTTGAGTTACTACAAGTTCAGTTCAACTTCCACAAGAACGATCAACAATATGTACATATATTTACATGCACGGGAAACTATTCTAATCTCTCGAGGGGATATTCCCTCGTTTCCTCAAAAACCATCTAAACGGTTATGAAAAATTCTGAAAAAAAATTGACAACATTCATACAACACATACATACAACTTCACAAAATCTTAAGTCCAAACTCAACTCACACGTCGAGATATAAAAAAGACAAATTCAGCTTATGAATAGTAGCGTACTGTTTATATCTAAATTTGTCTTTTTTTTTCTCGATGTGTAGATCGAATTTGAACATGAATTTTGGTGAACTAGTAGGTATTATTATACTCTACATTGTCAATTTTTTTTAGAATTTTTCACAACTATTTGCATCGAATTTGGAAGAAAAAGGTATACGAGGGGATATCCCCTCGAGGGATTAGAATCCACTCCCTACATGCACTAGATGCGCATGCATTTGCTGCATCAAACATATATATCCTTATCTTACTTTATATTAAGTTATATATATATATATATATATATATATATATATATATATATATATATATATATCAATGTTCACAATCAGTACGGTAGCATTAATTAACACATAGGACACACACATATATATGCATGGCAAAAAATAGTCATTTGCTTGGATCCATTCCATGTGGACTGTAATTTTTGAAGCCAAGGAAAAACAGCAACATATGGATGGTCTATTGTGTACTCCCTCCATCAACAAATATAAAGGATTTTGGGCACCTTTGGAGAGATTAAGAATTGGGAGAAAAGACTACAATGCCTCTCAATAAGTGAGAATGCCTCTCAATAAGTGAGGACGGTTGGATAGGGGAGGGTAGTTGGAGTTAAGATAGGAAAAAATTGGAAGAATGATAATTGATAAGACAAGTAGTGTTCATTGTGAAGTGCCTTATAGGACAAATGGAGAGGGTCAAGGTCCATTATGTTTATCAATGGAGGGAGTAGTATCAAAAAATATATATCAAGTGATTTGTAAGAGATAAAATGTAGATGGTGCATGTGGCGAGTGGCAAACGGGCACATATTTAATTCATGTTCGTAGAACTATTTCAATCGAAATCATTGTTATACTATTTATCAAATTGCTAAACATATTGATATCCTCATATATTATTGTTTTGTAATGTAGGTGTGGTAGGTGGTCTTTTCATCGCAGCAGTGTTCATATTCATTGCACTTCTTCGTAGAGAAAAACAAAAGATGAAAGAATTTTTCAAAAAGAATGGAGGCCCTATATTGGAAAAGGTTAACAATATCAAGCTATATAAAAAGGAGGATCTTAAGCCAATATTGAAAAATGCCAATGTGATTGGAAAGGGTGGCTTCGGTGAGGTCTACAAGGGGCATATTGGAGATAGTAATCAATTAGTTGCAGTGAAGAAGCCAATTCATGTTAGTTTGGAAAAAAGGGACCAATTTGCAAATGAAGTTATCATTCAATCTCGAGTCATCCACAAGAACATTGTCAAGCTCATAGGTTGCTGCCTAGAGGTTGATATCCCAATTTTGGTCTATGAGTTTGTCTCAAAAGGTAGCCTCGAAGACATTCTCCATGGCAGCAACAGAGTTCCTCTCAATTTGGATCAACGTTTGCATATTGCTGCAGAATCAGCAGAAGGTCTAGCTTATATGCACTCCAAAACAAGCACTACCATCCTGCATGGTGATGTGAAACCTGCTAATATACTTTTAAATGATGACCTTCTACCAAAGATCTCCGACTTCGGTATATCAAGGTTGCTTGCCATGGATCATGACCACACAATGTCTATCATTGGTGATACGAGTTATATGGATCCAGTGTATTGTCAGACAGGTCTTCTAACCGACAAGAGCGATGTTTATAGTTTTGGAGTTGTGCTGTTGGAGCTCATTACAAGGAAGAAGGCCTCACACTCTGACAACAATGGCTTACGTCAGAATTTTATTGATGCTTACACAAGTGGGAAGACAGTGACGGAGCTTGTTGATGAGGAAATTGCAACGACAAATGATGTTGACATACTTGTTAATCTAGCAGGCATGGTTGTGCAGTGTCTAAATCGTGAGGTGGATCAAAGACCAGAGATGACAGATATAGCAGAGCGTCTTCACAACATGGCTAAGAGAGTGCATAGTAATTAAATAGAATTATCATACAGATCATTGTGGAGATTATGGGTACTATATACCAACACGGCCAGACTATCCAACTGGTTGCAGGGGATATATTATGTATATAGAATAGGGGACATATCCGGTGAAAACCATCAAATAAGTGAAAACTTATGAAAACCATATCTAAAAGTCTTGTAAATTCATGAAAAAATTACTAGAGATAGGTATAGGCATGAAATACATTCATACCTATACCTATCTCTAGTAATGTTTTCATGAATTTACAAAACTTTTAGATATGGTTTTCACGTGTTTTAACTTATTTGATGGTTTTCACTGGATATTCCCCCATATAGAAGTGGAATATGTAAAGGATTAGGACTCAGGTATTACATACTTGTGTATCAAGAAAATGACCTGTAATCCTGATTCGATAAGTTTGTAAAGTAGTTCTAGGAGATTCAAACCATATTACGTTAAATCTCTATATTGTAAACATGTCTCCTCCGCCTATATAAGGAGGGCAGGGCGTCTCCTCCGCCAATATAAGGAGGGCAGGGCGTCCCCTGAGGGCATAAGCACACCCAAGATCATCAAATCAATACTAAACCTGGCGGGTACAATACCCAAAAAGGAGTACGGTAGTTATGATTAAATGGAAATAAAAAACGTGGAGAAGCTTTGTTAAAAGAATTACTCATCTGGAAGCAACGCGAGATCGGTGGGTGGCTGTGAAGCTTTGTTTAGTAATCAACGCGCAAAGGGCTCTTTAGTAATTCTAACAATTTAAATATGTTTCTGAGATGAGAATGTATTATTATGTGCTTTAGCACATCACATGGTCCAGGCTGCTGGAATGCCATATTGTCATCTTCTAAAGATAGCATGATAATTAGAATGTTAAAGATGCTTTGTTTTCCTTCCTAAAATGTTTTAGTCAGCATTACAGAATTATAACATCATTTATTTCTGTGTATTACACTACGACAAAAACAATTTTTCATGGCATCACCTTATAATTTTCGCTGGCGGCCATACGCAAAAACCGCTAGCAAAAATGTAATGAGGGTTGGGGGGCTGTGGACTGCCAGCGAAAATCAATTTTCGTTGGTGGCCACGCTAAGAGATCCGCCATAAAAAAACCGTATTTTTCGAGGCGGACCTCTTAAGTGACCACCAGCGAAAATTTTTGCTGGCGGTCCCTAAACACATCCACCAGGAAAAACATGGCCACCCTTAAAAAAAAGCATTTAAACCTAGCTGTCTCCACCCACACATTAATATCCCTCTCCTCCTCTGTCTCCTCACCCACGCCTCTATCTCTTCTCCTCTCAACCCACCCACCACCACATTCTCCCTCCCTCCCCATCGGCAGCGGCGGCGGGTCTAGCAACAGCGGCTTCGGCGGCGGCGCACGGTGGGGAGGACAGCGGCTCCAGCGGCGGCGGCAGGGAGGTCAGCGGCTGCGAAGATGGCTCACGGCGTCGGCTCATGGAGGGGGCGGTGGTGTGGTGGAGGGAGCAATAGATCCAGCGGCTGTGACGGCGGCTCTCGGCGTCGGCTCAGGGAGATGGTTCTGGTGGAGGTTCCGGCGGGCTCAGCGGCGTGTCTCAGTGACGACGACGACGTGAGCGATGGGTCCGGCGGCGGGCTCTCCTCCCTCTCCCTCCTCCACTGCCGCCAGTTGCCGTCGCCACCACCGCCGTAGGCTGCCGCCAGCTCGGGGCCTGCCGGATCCAGCCGATGCGGCACCAGGAAGGCCGGATCCGCCGTCGCGACGACAGGGGTGGCTGGATCCGTCGCCACGACGACCTAGGAGGCCGGATCCGCCGCCGACACCGACGGGGGCAGCGCCACGATGATGACTTCAAATTTTTGTTAATGTATTGTTTTTTGTGATGCTTGAATGCTTGGGTGAATGGAAATTTTTTACTGTAAATTGTTGATGTAAATTTCTGTGAATTTTTGAATGCGTAGGTAAATTTCTGTGAAATTTTTTAATGGTGGAGTGTTGACGGAGACAGATGGAGCGTCGCTCGTCCGTCGTTTTTTTTAAACTTGGCCAGCATTTTCACTGGCGGCTAGCACAGTGTAACCCGCCAGCGAAAATGTATTTTCGCTAGCGGCCGTCTTAAGCTAACCGTTAGCGAAAATGGATTTTTGCTGGAGGCTAGCTTAAGACGACTGCTTGCAAAAATAAATTATCACTAGCGGTTGATAAATGCTAGCGAAGATCTTGATTTTCACTGGTCTTTTCTTTGTGGCGGTTTCAAATTCCGCCAGCGAAAATCTAAAATAGCCGCCACGAAAAATGGTTTTCGTAGTGGTGTTACCATTACTTTGGAGAAAGACCTACAAAAGTATCGCTTAGAATAGATAGTTTTATACTTACAAAGCATGTTATTTATTAATTCCTTGAATCTAGCTGAGTGCTATTCTGCTGCGGCCGGTTTGTCAATCTTTGCATTAGCTGTAGAACTTTGTTTTGTATCTTTGGTTGGGACCTGAATTCTCTTTGTAATATATTTGGCAGGTAATAACAAATGATGGAATGATTGCATTTTCACTGTGCTTAGGATGGATTCATCTTTAATGCTTATTTTCTATTCTTAAATAACAATGTTTTTCATGAGGATGTTGTGTTATATCCATAATCTAAATGTCACACGTTAGGTAAACCATATTATTATGTATCTCATTTGTTCCCTTTGTGTTACTCTAGGCTGGAGGCTATAGATTAATATTTCAGCCTTGAAACAGTGCAGGAGATTGTGGAGGCCACAATGACTTATGTTTCAGTTGCTTTTACCTCCAAATCTATGGCCATGTGGTGCTTTCCTTTTCATATAAATTTTAGTAAGCGGAAAATGGAATCTCAGCAATTTTCTCAAGATTTTCTTGAATTATGTTTCACCTTCCTTTGTACCACACAAGTTTATTGAATATTATATATTAGTGATCGAGTAACTATGTTACAAAGTTTCTAAAGTAATTAGGAATCTGTTTATGGCATAAAAATATATAGAAATGTACGTTTAAGTCATTTTTTAATGTTCATATAGTTATCTGCATTTTCTGTTGAAATGCATCTTTTCTTCTGTGCAGGGCGCTAGAGCATGGCTTCTGGGCAACTTGGTTCAAAAGGTAATTACTTTACTGGTTGTTCAATTGGTTCTTATGTTTGATTGCAAAAGGAAAATAAATTCTTTTCTGCACTTTTTTTCCCCTAAAAATATTATCTTATAGTGGGATTCTTACTTGAGACCCTGCATGGTGTGTATTTCCCTAGAAAGCAATATGTCATTTTCTCCTTACATAAGTTAAGGTCATAGATACATTTTTTTTAGAAAATAAGGTCATAGATACATATGCATATATACGTATGCATTTTTTTTACTAGAGTACATATATGAGCTTTTGTATGTAAATATATAATCGGTTTACCACAGCTAATATACATTGACAAACCTTTTGTATTTACAATCAACTATAACATAGCATATATGTATTTGTCAAGTATTATGCATTTGAGTAAAACATTTTTCCCACAAATGGTGGGTTTATTCACCTAGTCCCAACTCCCAACTTCAGTTCATGTGCTTATACTGACAATATTTTCTTATAGTGCAATTTATCTTTGACCTTTAGTTTGGCCTAAACAATATTTATTTGTATTTCTTTTAGAAAATAGATTAAAATCCAGCCTCTGCATCTACAATGGATGTACACAGCCTATTTAGGGTTAATTGAATCCATGCTAATGTAAATATGCCAAATTAGAAAAATACCACTACCATTTACAATATCGGCTACGTACGTTCTACTGGAATTTGAGGAAATTGAAACCATGCCACTTTGTCACGTTTTCCAGCCACTTTCTGTCATCCCCGTTAATCTGGCTAACTCCGGCAGCGAGCAACGGAGCAAGAAGCTGCGGAAGGAAGCGGAGATGAGCAAGAGCGGAAGGAAGCGGCTGTGCAAGGTGCTTAACTGCCGGAGGCTGTCGGACAAGGCGTGCACGCACGCGGCGGCGTTGGCGGGAGGGCACGCTGAGGCCACCGAGCTGCCGAGCAACAACGATGTGGTGGCGGCGCCAGCGGCCTTCTTCTCTGGGGCCGGTGGCTACGGCCCGCCCCGGAGAAGAAGACTTGCTAACTAACTAAATTTATAATAATTTCAAGCTACATAAATAAACTAGATAAATACTTATCTTAGTTAAGTAAAAATTACCTTAATACAGAGTAAAAATTGAGGAATGTAGTGATAGTGATGTTGGGATAGGGGGTGTTGGCACTCTCCGCCGGTTGGCGCCGCGGAGGTGCTCGACCTGCGTCCACAGCTCGCTGAGCTATCGCTGCTTGCTCATCCGCGACCGCCGCGTCGACTCCTTGTTTGACACCATCTGCCGCTGCCACCGCTGAAGCCATGCCCTGCAGGCCGTAGCTGCATCCTTCGGAGAGGGCTACGCGTAAGATGTCCGATGCTTTAGGGAAAAATCGGACGCTGACGTCATGCTGACGTTAGCGTCCGATTTACGTGCAAAACTACTTTTTAAACTGATTTTTCTCTTAAATTACTTATCTAAATCATGATCCGATTACACCATTAAATTCATTGTAATTAAATCTTCAAAACAAGACCACACATGGATATATTCCGATGAAAAAAAAATTAGCTTATTATTGAATTATTTTTAAATATTGCACGATGTTCCACCAGGTATATCGGAATTGTTTCGCTAAGTACATTGAAAATATTTCACTCGTTTAAATCTGGTGTTTGTTTCACCTTATATAAAAACAATGTTTCAGCAAATAGCGAAAGAATGTTTCAATTCACTGCAACATTAGATCTATACATAGTGAAACATTATAAGTACACTAGGTGGAACATTTTTCGGTGAAACAAAAAATGAAACGAATTCCCTTAATAGGAGGTTTCCAAAATATGTGGGTTTTTTGTTGCAATGAAATATTCCAGTTCACTGCAACATTAGATCTATATACAGTGGAACATTGCGAGTGCACTAGGTGAAACATTTTTTGCGAAACAAAAAAATAAACCAAATTCCATTAATAGAGGGTTTCCAAAATATGTGAGTGATTTATTGCAATAGCGTGTTCCACTGCAACATTTGATCCGTACACAGTGAAACATCATGAGTACACTAGCTGAAACATTGTAAAACTACTGGTTGAAACATCAAAGGAGACCGCATGCAACATTAAAAAAATCAATAAAAAATTAAAATATTTTTTGTCGAAATATAATCATGTGTGGTCTTGTTTTAAAGATTTAATTGTAACGAATTTAGTGGTGTAAACAGATCGTAGATTAAATAAATAGTTTACGATAAAAAATCTTCTGAAGAAATAAGAAAAGAAAAGATTCTTTGTATGCTGCAGTGACAGACAGCGTCCGATTTTTCTCCACCCCGCCGGTCGTCCAGGTGTGAGCATTTTCGGCATCCTTCCCCACCGTCAGAGCCCGAGCTAGGC